CGACGGCGCGAACAAATTGAATGCAGCGTAGCAGAATGTCACGGCCAGAGCCCCAGATCCAATCTTCCTGCGGCACTTTTCGAGCCAGATCGACCTGTGATGGTCCCAGGGCCCGAAGCTGGACGAAAACGCCCACAGTGAAAAGACGCAACGCACAGATCTCAGGGCTCAGAGGTGTCCTGATGTTTTCTGGAAGCCCGGACCTCCTCTCCGGGGCCGGTGTTTTGCATCCCGAGCCGTTTTTTGCTGGCCCCGGGGCTCGGCGAGCGCCCCCGGGGCCAGAACTGCCAAAGACTTCCTGTCGCGCCTTTGTTCACGACGCGAGCATCCCTGGGTGAGGGGCTGCAGTCGGGGCCCTGAAGAGGGAACCCTTTTGGTTGGGGAGGGGCTCCGCGTTCCTTACGTGTTTCGCAGCTTGCCTCGGGTTTTCCTGAGGTTCTCGATCGGAAGCCGAAGTGGAACTCCTGGAAAACGGGGGCCTCGTTCCTTGTGTAGGGCTCCTTAGGTCAACGCCCGGTAGTCAATCGCCGCCGCCGCCGGCCCGCTGCCTCGGCCCGCTGCCGGCCAGGACCGCGCCCCCACGCCGCCGGACCTGCTGCGGCCCGTGGTGCAGGCGCTGGTCGACCAGGAGCCGGACGCGCTGGTCGCCGAGGCACCGCGGCGGGCTGGGGCCGCCGGGCGGGGGCCTCCCGGCGCTCCTCGTGCAGAGGATGCACCCCAGACATGATGGCGTCGTAAAAAAATCAGGACGGGAGGTTTTTTCGCTATTTTCGACCCCAGGGGGCCCTCGCCGGGCCTCGGGACCGTCAAAAAACGACTCAGGACGAAAAATCGGCCCCAGGGAAAGGGTCTAGATTTCCAGGGGCGCCGTCCTGAAAAAATCAGGACGTGGCATGTCTGGGACAGGTACCCATACCTCTGCCCTCTCTTCGTTTTCTCGGCCCCTGGGTCGTGGTCTCTTTTTCGCGGACCGATCTTCGTGTTTTCTTGGGCTGGGTCGTGTTCTCGTTTTCTCTGACCCTGGTTTGTTGTTTCGTTTTCTCGTGTTCTTGGCTCCTGGGTCGTTACCTCGTTTTCTCGGACCCTGGTTATTGCATCGTTTTCTCGTTGTCTCGGCTTCTGGGCTTTTGTCTCGTTTTCTCGGGCCCTGGTTCGTTTTCTCGTTTTCTCGTGTTCTCGGCCCTTGGGCCGTGTTCTCGTTTTCTCGGGCGTTGGTTCGTTGTCTTGTTTTCTCGTTTTCTCCTCCCCGGGTCGTGGTCTCGTTTTCTCGGACCCTGGTTTGTTTTTTCGTTTTCTCGTTTTTTCGGCCCCTGGGTCGTGGTCTCGTTTTCTCGGACCCTGGTTCGTTTTCGCGTTTTCTCTGCCCCTGTGTCGTGGTCTCGTTTTCTCGGACCCTGGTTCGTTTTCTCGGGCGTTTGTTCGTTTTCTCGTTTCCTCGTTTTCTCGGCCCCTGTTTTCTCGGGCCCTGCTTCGTTTCCTCGTTTTCTCGGCCCCTGGGTCGTGGTCTCGTTTTCTCTGACCCTGGGTCGTCGTCGTCGTCGGTCGTCGGTCGTGCGTCGTCCGTCGTCCGTCGCCGTCTCCGTATGTCCTCGTTCTCGTCTTGACGACCACGACGAGATCATACGAAGACGGCGACAATGACGGCGACGGCGGCGACGACGACGCCGAGGACGACGACGGCGTCGTACGAAGACGTCGAGCGACGGCGGGACGTTTCTCTCCAGGGCGCGGGGGAAAGAGAGAGCTTCGAGTGCCGGGGGGGGGGCTCTCCTCCAGGGCGCGGGAGCGAGAGACAGCCTCGAGTGCGGGGTGTGCCGGGGGGGGGGTCCCCTCCTCCAGGGCGCGGGAGCGAGAGACAACCTCGAGTGCCTGGTGTGCCAGGGGGAGGGGGGGTCCCCTCCTCCAGGGCGCGGGAGCGAGAGAGAGTCTCGAGTGCGGGGGGGGGGGGGAGGGCTCCCCCTTTCCCCCTCTCCCCCTTCAGTTCTCGGGCGGGGGGGGGGTCCCTCCCCTTTGGGACCCCTCCCCGGCGGTTGCTGAGCGACTTTTTGTTGAGTGTCGCTCTCTCGTTGAGCCCTCAGAGCCGATCTCAGAGCCGATCAACTATGCACCGTGCCACCCAGGAGCGGGGCCTGAAGGGAGTCCACGCGTAGATGTTTAAAACGCTGGGGGCGTTTTTGATTCGTTTTCAATTGTTCGGTTTTCGGTCAGCCAAAGCGGGAAGCAACCGCAGCCCAAAATAGAGCATCGACGGCAGTACACAGCGAAACCGAACCAGAAACGGCGCGAACGAGATTCCAAAGCGGGAAACAAACCACATGGAAACAACATCCCCAGCGTCTTTAAATTCATCGAAGGTTCCGATGTGATACGGTGCACGGGTGCCGTCTTCATATCCTTGCGCGACCCCGCCCTCAGGTCTGCGATCACTTGCGCGCCCACAAGGCCGTGCTCTGCAATTCAAGGAACGCCAGGGAGATCCTCGACGTCGTGGCGCGGGCAGGCCGCGCGCTCCGTGCGTGCGCGCGCGCGCGGAGGCGAGCGCCACCCACCGCAGCGGCGTTCAGCGCGGCCGTCGTCGCGGTTGCAGCCGCCGCCGTTGTGGTCGACGTCTTCGCCGCCGCCGCCGCCCGCCGCCGCCGCCGACGCCGCCCGCTGCCGCCGCCGCCGCCGCCGCCGCCGCCGCCGCCGCCGTCGTCGTCGTCGTCGTCGTCGTCGTCGTCGTCGTTGTCGTCGTCGTCGTCGTCGTCGTCTTCGTCGCCGCTGCCACCGCCGCCGCCTCCGCCGCCCGCCCGCCGCCGCCGTCGCCAACGCAGCAGTCGTCATCGTTGTCGTCGTCGTCAACGTTGTCGTCGTCGTCGTCGTCGTCGTCGTCGTCGTCGTCGTCGTCGTCGTCGTCGTCGGCGTCGTCAACGTCGTCGTTGTCGTCGTCGCCGCCTCCGCCGTCGGCAGTTGTCGTCGTCGTCGTCGTCGTTTTCGTCGTCATCGTCGTCGTGGTCGTGAGGAGTGGAGAGCGAAGGGCTGGAGAGCGGCGTCCCATTTGTGAAAGTCGTATTAGCAGGGATGTGAGATATAGGATGATGATTCGAATTATCTCTGCTGCTGCTCTCGCTCGCTCATGCTTGAACTCTCGTGTTCACTATTGCCATTTGTGGCTTGGACCCGCCAGCTGAGGCGGGAGGGTGGACGCACCTATCGAACGCTGAGCTTGATTCGGTATAAGATATCCTATCATCTGCCTGTTTCTTCTTGCATCAAGAGGTTGTGGGTGGAGAGATTTGGATCACTATTTACACCGGTAGCGTGAGCTGAATCAGTCCACGGTGCGAGGATTTCATATAGAGTGGCCGTGCAGATATATGCTGGCGCTCACTTACATCCTCGCGGTGCTTAACCACAGCGTTCAACAGATCACGGTGATCGACAAAACGCTCAAAATCATTACCTACAACAGCTTGGACGAGGATCGTTGCATCAACAGCATCCCGGGCGAGCAGCATAACTACAGCAGCAACGATCAAGACAGCTACTACATCAGTGACAAGCTCAGTAGCATCACAGTCATCAAGATGGCGTCCAGGCGGCAGCAGCAGTTCAATGACGACCCCCTCTTCGTTGACAAGGAGGGCGTGGTACACTACAACAGCGACCCATCGTACGGCGAGGATTTCGAGGAGCGTGCAATACTCGGCTACCACGCCAGCGAAGAAAAAATCAAGAAGCTCTACGCGATCAAGCTCAAGAGTTCTCTAAATGGACGAGCGTGGACACTTACACGTCAGAAGGCTGAGATCAGTACGCAGGCCGTGTTTTGACGAAACAGGTAATGACCCACTTGCTGCAGTCAAATTGGTGGTAACTACAGTACGACAAGCGTGCGAAAGGATCGCACCGCTACAGAAGCAGCAAGCGTTCGAGGAGTATTTCTTCCGAGGTTTTCGCAATCGAACGGAGTCTGTGCAGGACTGCATATCGAGGCGAGACACGGAGTACGAGCGGCTCAAGTCACTTTCAACGAGCACGACAGTCAGCGAAGACCTACGGACATACTTTCTACTGGAGCTAGCGAACATCAGCATGCAAGAGCACAAGGCAATCCTTGGCCAATGCAACAGCGAATGCATCTGGGACGACGTGGCGGCAGCCATGCTGATACAGCTGGGCAGCGCAGGCCGATGCGATCGTGGACATGGACGATGCGGAGCCTACCCGGTGGACTACGACGACGAAGAAGAATATGCTCTACTCGGAGACGAATGTGCACCGTGCGACGAGGACGTTTCCTGAGTGATGCGGGCTACGACGCACTTGCAGCGGGCATCGACGAGTTCGAGGGAGTGGTTGATGACGTGGACCCGGGCGAGATCAGCCAGGAGGAGTGCGACACCCTGGCGACGGAGGCTCAACGCCTTGGCTGGACAGCTGGACGGCGCGACCACAAGCCCAACTACAAGCAGGCCCGGGAGCGGCTTGCTCAGAGCAAGTCGAATAGAGGCTGGAAAGCCAACATCAACAAGCAGGGCTCCATCAAGATGGACAGCAAAGAGGCCGAGGAAAAGCTGGGGCAGATCAAGGCGCGCACGAAGTGCAACGCGTGCCACAAGAAGGGTCACTGGAAGGGTGACCCCGAGTGCGAAAAGACGAGGTCACCAGCGAGTGGATCCAGTACGCTACAACGTGGAGGACGAGGGGGCGGACGTGGAGGGCGAGGGTTTCGCGGGCGACCTGGGGATTTTCTACGACGAGCTGGATTCGCAATGGCGACCGCGGTCAAGCTGCTGATGGCGGACAGCTCGATGGACATGACCGCCATTCAGATTGTCAGCGACCGGCTGGCAAGCATAGACGTGGCGATGGAGGAGATCACGAGTCTGACGAAGGTGAGAATCGACACCGAGGAGCATATCGTGAACCCCTACGCGGTATCAGCAGCAGGAGACCAGCCGAACTTCCAGGAGAGGATCGACCAGGCACGCGAACCACACCCAGTACCTGGAGAGCATCAAGCACGAGAATCTGACGAACCCCTGAGCACTCCAGTGAGCTCAACGAGCAGACCGACACCAGGGACATGGTCGAGGACGGAGCCCAGCAGACCAAGTACAGACTACCTGGAAGAAGACAACACAGAGGCCGACCTACAGAATATACGAGATCGTGCGGAGCAGATCGCAGCGTTATGGGTGAGCTGCGAGAACGTGGAAGCGGCCTACAGAGACTATATGGATTTCTGTTTGGACTGGGCCCTACATCGCTTTCAGCAGCTCATGCGCATCGCCATGGAGATGGCGCCGAACGGTCTCAGGAATATGGCCTACGATCTATGCCAAGCGGCCTGGGACAGGACCTCGGAGCTCCGTGACATCGTGGGGAGTACCTGCGAGCGCCTGCCGATTGGAGTGCGACCGACATGGTTGTGGACGCAACGTCGAGCTGGAACCGACTACGCCCCAGAGGGCGACCGCGCACCGACGCCAGGGCGGCAGCAACCTTGCGAGGATCTGGAAGAAATCGAAGCCTACGCAGTACGAAAGGACTTATTCCAGATGGACATGCTGTACTGGACACTGCGTGCCTACGTGGATGTGGAGGTTCAATATCACTGGGCGGCTACGCAGAGGACGGCAGAGTCACCACGCGGACGAGAGGATCATCCATGCGCTTCCGAGGCGTGAATGACAGCGCCCCGGTCATGGCAGAAGGAGAACAAGAGGTGACGGCTGGGCTTGCTGGAGCTGACGTGGACCTACGCTTCCAGAGGTTGCCGAAGTCAAAGACGCCAATACTGCTGAGCATCCACCAGCTGGAGGAGCTCGACACAGTGATATACATCAAGGACCAGAAGGCGGACTTCAAGGCGATCAACAAGTACGGAGTGCCTCTCAACAAGACGGAGAAGGGACACCTGGCGATCTCGCTCAAGGAGTGGCCGAAGAAGGAGACGACAAAGATCGAGCCATCAGTCACGTCCGACGAGATCGACATCTGGAATGCGGAGGTCCATGAGATCGATAAGGGCATCCTACGGCGGAAGCAGAGGAAGCATATCGAAACGTGGGAGAAGGAGATTCAGGACAAGCTGGACCAGTGCCAGCAGATCGTGGACACGCTGAAGGCGGACCCGGAGGAGAAGCGGCCCATCATCTGCGAGCTCTACGCAGGTGGCATGGCAGCCACATCAGAAGCTCAGCAGCGGCGGCGCCCAGTGACGAGGCCGAGGGACATCTTGACCGGGGGCGACCTGCTGGACGCGAAGTCGCAGAAGACCGTCCTGAAGCAGCTGAACGAGGATGACCCCTACATGACCATTGTGGGTTTCCCCTGCGACCCGTTCACGAACATATCCCACATGTTCCCGAAGGACACGGAGATGCGCAAGTTGGCGATCGGCATGAAGCACCTGCAGTTTGGCAAGAAGATCTGGCTCAACTGCAAGCGCCGAGGAGCTCATGTGCTACTGGAAAACCCGTTGACATCAAGAGCATGGCAGCTTATGCCAGGGCTGGGCTCAGAGTTCGTGAGCGCGATGATGCACCAGTGTGCCGAGGGCAGCAACCTGGTGGACTTCGTGGGCGATCCAGTCAAGAAGCCGACGAGATTCCTGACGACGGCTATCATGCTCGACAAGAAGCTCAACAGCATCAGGTGTGACGAGCAGCACGTGCACACGAGCGTGATCAAAGGGCCGCAGGGAACAGCATCGAGCCTTGGGAACTGGACCAAGGAGCTGGCCAAGACGATCTTGGACGGCATCGAGGATCAGCGAGACCTCGAGAAGCAGCATGGTGGCTACGCCCGGTACGCCAACAATTGCGACGACATCGACTGTGACGAGTTCGAGGCCAACCCTGCGGAGACGGAGGCGCCGATGCACGCTAGCGCGGCGGCGATCTTCAGCAAGCATGGCGAGAACATCGAGATGGCGGAATGGACGGCGGTGCCACCACTCATGCGAGCAGCTATCAAGAAGATGCACGAGAGCCATTCACATGGACCCTACAAGGAGTCACTGGTACGGTATCTACAGCATGGTGGAGCTAGCCGACGAGCGGTACAAGCAGCAAGTCTCTTCAGATGCACGACGTGTGAAGAACAGGCTCGGACGGCAGCGAGACCTACGGCAGCTCAGCTTAAGGTTAAGGGCTTTAACGAAGCCATCAGCATGGACTTCATGATCATGCCCGACCTGGACAAGAACATGCACGTGGTGCTTGTTATCGTGGACGTGGCCTCGGACTTCACCGTGGCGGTCTACGTGTGTCCCGGATCGAGACCTACGGCAGAGTTAGCAAAGAAGGCTTTGGAACTCGGACGGCTTGCCTGGGCCGGGCCACCACGCGTCGTGGAGCCGGACCGGGACTCTACCTTTATGGACGAGTTCGAGACGCTGTGCAACGACCTGGGCATCGTGATCAACAACGCGGCCCCAGAGGCTCACTGGCAGATGGGCAAGGTCGAGAGGAAGATGCGCTACCTGAAGGAGATGGCAACGAGTGTCTTCGA